GGTCCTTGGGAAGGACTCGATAGGTGGATAAAAATGCCAAATCCAGTCTAAACATCTGGCTGACTATGCAACCAACCTTAATAACAATAATCAGCAATAATAAAGGAGGCAAGTTAGGCTCAAGTAGGCTAGTTCTATTATTATTGTGTTATAGATGGACAAGGAATGGTCTAAGCTTCCTTTAAGGCCAGCCCAAAAGTTGGCACCGTAAGATTTGCACCAGGTCCTTACCCTACCAACAGGGGATGAATTCTTCGTTTTCAGTGGCTGGACTTGGCTTTGAAAGTAGATTTAGAGGTTCTTCTGCATGAACCCAAACTCTCTCTCTAACAGCACAATCGTTGCAGTGAGGATGTAATTATCTTTCTAGAAGGCTGTCATTGTCTTGTTGAAATGGTACGTTCCCCCAGCATTTTGATTATACAATGTTATTGCTGATACTGGGAAGAAAACGGCTTTCACCTTACCTCCAATTTATGTGTCTATTGTGATTAGGAGCATAGAGGACCAAAGCAGGTATTACTTAATGTCTGTTATTCAGCTTGTAAAAAGTAATATAATTTCCTCCTTTCCCTTATGTCAGGACTATGAAATGATTTTCAGAAATATTCAAAAGTTTTTAAAAGACTGTTTTCTAACAGTACTCACTCCTTTTAAAAAAGGATCTATAACAAGGCAAGTTAGTTTTCAGATTTACCACCTGCCAAACATTGAGTTTTGGGTTCTCAAACTCACATTAGTGTTTTCATTTTTAATATAAGTTGTACAGACTTCTAAATTCCAATAGTAAAAGCACTTTACAAACTATGCCAATACAATAAGTATGGGGAAAAAATTGCTTACCCAAAATTCTTACATCACTTACCTTTGTCAACATCATCTTATATGCATACAACTTTTTTCCTTTTCCTTTTCCCAAAGCACCTTCAATTTTTTCTACAAAATCTTGAGCCTCCCTAAGTTAAAAATTTAAAAAAGGTTATATTTAACTATTTTGACATGATGTAATGTAATATAATATATCTGCCCATCAGAGACAGTTGGTCAAAATGACTTTTAACACTTACTCTTGCATTAATCACAAATATAGTATAAATATAAAAGGCCCTGTGGTTGAACTCACAAGGCTAACTCTGTTTCATGGTCTAACATGTAGAAATATGAAGTAACAATGCAGTACAATTATCTGAGATTCCTCCTGTCTACATTATAAACTGATTTAATTTCTTCCATTTAATAAGACAGCTTACTAGGATCTGTTGTAACATTGTCAGTGAATAACTGTTTGAATTCAGGATAATCACTCACTTATAGCCAGGTTGCCTTCTCCAAGTCTCTCCTGGTTAGTTCAACAGGCAAAATGCACATTTAGAAGTTCAATGAGCTCCAGTAATGAATGGTATGTTTTCATTACAGGCACTGTAGTTTTGTCCAAGAGGGACAGATCACTGTAAAATCATAATTCCATTTCATGAGGAAGTTCTAGTAGGTCACAGATTGAAAAACTGTGGCATTTGTGCTGTAGGTAGATATACTGCAATATGGGGAAAATCTAACTTCCTTTGCAGCATTTTCTTTATCCTTTAGTATCCAAACCCTGGACTTGCTTTCTTTAGAGCAGCAATCATTTTGTTTTGTCTTTTTATGGCAAAGCTCGAGCAACATTTTGCATTATCTAATCAGTATGAAGTAGCATATGTGAAACTGCTTTATACTGAGTCAATTAATTCTTCCAGCCCTGTACTGTTTACTCCACATGGCACCAACCCTCTGAGGCAGATGATTTCCCATCATTTTCAGCCTGGTGAAAAGACAGGAATTAAAGCTGAATTTCTTCCATTCAGCTTCCCTGTTGCTTATGAGAAAGTGCTATTATTTCAGGCATATTAAGTCATTCTCTTAGATAAACATGGCAGCTCTTTTCTTCAGATCAGTAATCAATGTAATATGTTTTGTCTAACAGCTCACAAGCATTAACACTTGAAAGTGCTGAAAAAAATAATCCCTTGATTCCTATAGAAAAAAGCACCAACAATCAAAAAAGGCAAAGAATGACAACATTCTGACTATTCAGGTTCATATTTTTAATTAATACACAAATTGAGCCAAGAGTTGTCATCTGTTTTCCAGTTATACAGATCAATAACAAATCTTTCTTTTAAGCCAACCCATGGAGCAAAAGGGTTAGGGTGCTCAAGACGTTTACCCAACAGCTGCAGAATATAATCTTTATGGAATGTGAATGGAATGGCAACATAAATGATGCCTATGTACATACAAGTGTGTGAACAATAATCACCAAGAAACTTTACCTCAGCACAGTTAATTTCTTTGCCATGCGCCAGGGTTTGTTTCGTATGATAGATATCAGTTTTTTCTTTTCTTCCACCTGTTCCTTTAGCTTGGTCAGTTCTTCTTCAGAGAGAGATTCATCATCGGAAGAGTTTGGTGTAGAAGAAGAAGAACTAGGAGTAAAAACACAAAATCAGACCAAATCCAAATGCACACTATTATATATATTTATATTTATATTTCAGATTTAGTCTGAAATATAAATATATCTCACTCAGTGAGTGACTCTGGGTGGTTTACAGTAAAAACAAAAATAAATACTGGTTAAAATACTGATTAAAATACAATAAACTAATGCTAATTAATAAATAATATCTTCCAAGGTAATTGATGGTGACAGTTGTTAACCTGTGGGAGAGTCTTATATATATTACTGTACTACACTACACTACACTACACTACACTATACTACACTTATAATAATTCTTGAAAATCTTGTATGAAATTACATTATATATTCTCAACTTATCGTATGCAGCTGTTGTATTTAAAAAAAAACCAAGGATTTTAAAGTAGTATTTGCTGGCATTTGCCATTTTTAAACCTCCATTTGATGTCAAATTTGTTTGTTTATTTAGTCATACAATTATATGCTGTTCTAGTCAAAGGTATAGATGTAGATATTAAACGGTTGTGGATGGTTAGCTTATGTGTTAGATGTCTATAATTTATCCAACAGTTAAGTAAATTGGATGCAAAAAAGATTAAAGTTGCAGGGAGAAGGGACCTTAGAAGAAGTAGCATATGCTGGTAGGGGGAGCCCTAGCTATTCCCCTGAAGAGCTAAAGTTTCATCAGCATGGACAATTTTAGGAACCAGAATAGATATTGGCAATTGAAAGAAACTAAAGACTTCCACCCATAGGACTTATTGGGGTTGGGGAGATAATTTGGGTTGGCGCAGTAACATTTGGAATGGCAGAGGATATAATAATATACTTCCCACCAGCAAGCAGGGGAAATTGCTGGAGACCAATCAGTTCTTGGAAGGGGATGACCAGACCTGATGCAGAAGTCTTCACTTTGCCATTTTTTTCCACATTTGCATGTTGGTCTTTCTATCTACCATTTCCTGCTATACTTAGGTTAATTTTTTTTTTTTAAAAAAACTGATCCTTGTTATAACTTTCTGGAAGGCATTTGTGGGATAGGTCTGGATCCAGGCCTTGGGAGCACAGGTGAGTTTGTAAATTAGCAAATAAAAGAGCTTGTCCTATGCAGAACAATGGGGGTGTGATCAAAATGGCAGCATGAGTAAGAAGTTGGAGGGCTTGAAGATGACAGGAGAGATAGAAGATGGACTGCTCAGCAGGAGGTAAGCTGGGCACCCATGGATTGTAGATCCAGACCTTATGCTGTACTGAATTATTTAAAAGACTATAACCAAGAAAGTGGTGACCAGTAGCTTCCCTTCATTTCAATAACTATATCATGCCTGTTTGTACTTAGGATTCCTGTATCCCTCTCCCTCCTGCACCCCTTGAGTGCCAGTCACTGACACTGCTGATACAAATGCTCACCATCACACACTACTAGCCACACAAATTGAATTTCACAGGATATGATTTGGAACAAAATGGTTGAAAATATCAGTTTCTGATACTTCTGCAAAAAGGATATCTTGTCCTGGATCTGGACAATTCTTGGGCAACAGGTCCCAATCCTGTTCTTCTGGTTCTGCACAGTATGATGGGCCATAACATGGGCAGACATCAGCAGCTCAACTACTACATAGACCTGAAGAGTATTCTCAGACAACATGCTTCAAATATATAAGCTGTCTGGTAGCGACTTTTTCTCACTATCAAATTTTATAAAAGAGCATAAGCTTTTGTGAGTTTCAGCTCATTTCATAAGATGCAGTGAAATGACTAGACTGATTAGGATTTAATTGGGATAAGGTATGGGGAAGAAGGGGAAGACTGGTGGTTATGCAGGTGAAGATTACATGTGAGACAAAGAACAAATACCTTATCAATTAACTGTTGTAATGTGTTAAAAATCCATTGTGTTTGTTAAGACCTGCAGAGATACATAGTTTGAAACATTTTGATGTATGTGAATTCAGCAGTTTCTCACTTGGCCACCATAGACTGACATAGCTCTCTTCCTATAATGCCTACAGATGCATAAGGTAATTGATTGTTCTAGCCCAGTGATGGTCATGAGAGAGAATGCTGGTCAGCATGCAGAAATGGGCCTCCTTGAAACAGCAAGGTCCAGCACTTTCAAGTTACTCTTAACCATTATGAATTTCTGAGATTAAAGCTGTGTTAATGTCTTTCCATGAGGATTTGATGCAGTCTAGAACTCCACAAATTGCTTCCAGTTCCAGAGATCTATTTCTGGAAAACCACAAACTATCCTGAGAACCCTCAGATGACCTATTTGGTTTAAGCCAGATTACTCAAACACATAGTAACATAATTACATGTCTTTCTTTGAGTCTCATTGCACAATACTTGTAAGCCACCTAGAGTCACTTATACAGTGAGATAGGTGGCATGTAAATTTGATTAATAAAATAAAAATAAATAAATAATACATTTTTATGGCAGTATCAGAAGCCAGTAATTTGCCAAGATTCAGTGAAATGAATACATTGTTTTCCCCATTGTATAAGATGTACTCTTATACAAAATACCTAACTATTTAGAACAAACTTGTGGCTTTTGATCTTGGGAGTGGTGAAAATGTCATACCTTTCACCTGTATTTTTCTTTTTTTTCTTGTCCTTTCCTTTTGCTTTCTTGTTTTCAATCTCTTTTTGCTTTTTGTCTTTCTTTTTCTTCCCTTTTGTTGTTTCCTCCTCCTCGTTTTCTTTGTCGTCATTGTCTGTTTTCTGATTTTTCTTTTTATTTGGTTTCTTCCTCCTGGATACTTCTTCTACCTCTTCATTTTCATCATCAGTATCTTTGTCATTACTCTGTTTTCTCTTTAATTTGGTAATTTCCTTTATATTCTTTTTTTGAACTACTTTTTCCTCCTCCTCTTCTTCATATTCATAATCTGTATTTTAAAAAAGTGTTTGATTTAAATAAAACTGAAGAGTTACACCGTGGTTATTGAGAATTTTATCTTTCATTAGGCAAAAGCAGACATTTCCTAAATGTAAAAGCCCCTCTAAAGACTATAAACTTCTCAGAATCAGTCCTAGTATTGCAAATCCAGACTTAATGTTACTTAGAAGAGACTTATTGAAATCAGTGGGATTTAAATTACTCATGTAAGTCTGAATCCATCTCCCTTTTTTGTGTAATTCATCAGTATACTAGTAAGACTTAGGCACTGATAGTAACTATGGGAGTGGCATCCTGAAATATATTAGTGATATAGTTGCTATATTAGGAAAGAATAACATTTTATCTTGCTTTTTAAAATGCAAGAAAGTAGCTGGAAGTTAAAAATATAATGGGCTATTATATTGTAAAAATGTATAAATTTTCCTACAAAATTGCACTGCAGCTCTGTTCTTATGCTTCTCTTACCTATATCAATTTAACAATTCACAAGCTGAAAGATTAAAGTTAAGGCTACAATATATGAACTGCAAAAATACAGATGACCATTTGATGGTAGCAAAGAGATACCAAAACCCAAACTTTTTGATTCTATCTTATGGTTGGTCAGATTTTTGCAGCCCAGATCTGGTAGCCCTATTTAAGTTCACTGTAAGGAAAAACTTCTAAATATAAGAGAAGTCCATTGGTATCACCCACTCTTAGGGAGCTGTCAAATTTCCTTGACCAGTGGCATTCAAGCAAAAACTGTTCAAGAGATGTAATAATTTTATGTTTCAGGAGCCCTGCTTGTAATCTGGATGGTTAAACTGAAAGATTAATCAAACTAGTGATTTTGTAAATTAAGATTGGCTTTGCCTCAGTCCTTAACAAAATTTACAGGCAAAAGTTGACTTCTATGGAAAGGCCAGATTTGTTTTTATTCAAGTGCTCCTAAGACTGACAGTCACTCAACAACGCTTAGATGATTGCCAGTAGATCTCAATTTATATGCACTGCACGCAGTTCTCAGAAAAATAAATTCTTTAACACACTCTTTCAAAAGACAGCAGCTATTCATCTTTTATTTACCTTCACTTTCTGTGTCGCTCTCCACTTGTCCATCAATCTCCATCCCAACTGCAAAGCAAAAGCAAACACCACTAATCACATTTATTGTCATCATCTTAACATACAGAAGATTACTCTTAGGAGAAAAAGCAGCTTTTTCTTGTCATGAATTTGGCCTGATCTGAATTTTAAAATGTATGTTCTGTTTTTGACTCCTCTGATATTTCCAACAGTGTGCAAGTTAATTAAGGTTCTCTGTGTAGTGATATCAAATAGACTTTGTTTGGAAATTGAACATGAAATCAATGCCAATTTATTTTTTTCTAAGATGCTAAATACAAGATATACTGACTTGCTAAATACTGGTGAATCATACAAACCATCTTCCATAATGATCTGTAATTCACATTTCTTCTTTACCATGATGGATATTCCTTTAAAAAAAAAAACAACGGCTTCAGATATTGGTTTTATCCACACTGCTTATAGCTATCTATGCCTTTTCTCACACTGCCTTCTTTAGCTTCTTATTGGTATGCATAAAGCAAGTCTGTCTATGAATCTGCAACTACTGGTTCCCTCCAATATTATTCTTGAATTACACAGTTGCTTCAGCTCCCAGGCTACAGGCGTAAGGGTGATTCATGGTATCAATTCAATCCAATCCAGCCACTTTCAGCTCTGATCTGTTTTCAACACAGAAAGCACCTGTTGGCATTGCATTGCATTGCATTATTTAAACATGAAGGAAAGCCCTTTGGAGAGAAAGTAGATAAAGATACACACAGTTTCAATTGTGGCTATATGGCTATCTCATTCTTTGAAAAAACATTAGTCTAATTTTTTACATGGCTTTTGTAGGGGAGGGTATGGGGGTATTTTAGAAAGGTTGTCACTGATATTTTTCATTTCCCTTCATCAGTTTAGGCAGC